GTTCTGCTCCTAACCTGGGCTAATGAAGACGGGCATACGCCATACAGTGTGCTATGAGGGAAATTTTGCCCGGACAGCGGCACTACGGCCTACTCTTATATCGACAAAGGGACTGAAATGGCTATAGTGGGCGGGGTGGGAGGGGGTAGGGCGCATATTGATGTATTAAGGACGACAAGAGAAAATAATATATGTATTATATAAGCAATTACTTACTAGGGCTATATTTCAAGCCGCTGGCAACGTTACATTTTCCATTGCCACTTTGTAAGCATTGCCAGTATATGAATATCGGTACTACCATATAGACGTGGGGTTGGTATGGCTTAGTGCTCTAGAGTGTCGCGCTTCGACCTCTAGCTGGCCGGTCACCTCTGGCTTGTGATTGTGTTTTCAATCTCTGGTGTAAGCGTATGTGGCTTGCAGATATATAACGTAGTGGATTTTTAGACAGTTTTATTCTCCAAAATATTATTGGGATTTGGCCCTTTAATGTTACCTACAAAAGGGTGACGGATAGATTTAGTCTAATTGAGTACCTTGCATTGTTCTACAACTTTCTTAGACTGACTCACTGACAGTTCTTCCACCATCCATTTTTGGAAGTTGGTTACAGTTGTGAAAGGGTGCCCAAATGAAACACCTACTAAAGATGGTAATGGTTCGCCCTAATAAACGTTTTATATAAATTAAAGAGCGTGATTAAATTTGTTTTAGACATCATTTGATACCAGGATAGAAACAACTTGTAGATTTATCAAACAACTTGTAGATTTATCAAACAACATGTAGATTTATCAAGAAACGTGTGACTCTTGCCTCTAAGGTATATTCAGGCATAATTCGATGTTCCTAGAGGGACATGTTCCTAGGGAGCCATCATTCGCCGTTCCTAGAGGGACATGTTCCTAGGGAGCCATCATTCGCCGTTCCTAGAGGGACATGTTCCTAGGGAGCCATCATTCGCCGTTCCTAGAGGGACATGTTCCTAGAGAGCCATCATTCGCCGTTCCTAGAGGAACATGTTCCTAGGGAGCCATTATTCGCCGTTCCTAGAGGGACATGTTCCTAGGGAGCCACCATTCGCCGTTCCTAGAGGGACATGTTCCTAGAGAGCCATCATTCGCCGTTCCTAGAGGGACATGTTCCTAGGGAGCCATCATTCGCCGTTCCTAGAGGGACATGTTCCTAGAGAGCCACCATTCGCCGTTCCTAGACGGGCATGCAGCCGCGTCGGCTTAGCAGTCCAGATACACACATCATACGATGTTCTTAGACAGACATACTTTTATCCGTCTCGTCTGAGAGGCTGGGGGTGATCATCATGTAGACTTAGAAAGAAGAGCGTAACTTTCTGCCACAGAACACCCCGGCTAAGTTATATGGATATATTTAGCTTATATTTAATGTCATATTATAATCTTTGTGTTATGGATGTTATAAAAATAGATAAACATAGTTATAGAAACACAGGGGTTCAGAGTTAATTGTTCATTAAAGTTTTATACGACAGTGTAACATTGCTAGTTTTGAGGGTAGCGACCATGACAGTGCCAAAACTGTACCACGAGTACAGTTTTTTTCAGCATAGTCAGAAACTTATGACAAAAGTTCCGGGGATTTGTCTCAAAGAAAATATGTGTAAGGTCATATCAAATGCTGTATTGTTAGAAACAGGAGTTTTATGTCTAGATATTTATTAGTCATCCAGTATCTTACACAGTAGTTCCGCAACAAACAAATGAATATCACGTGACCAGTACAATTAAGCGTCTGCTAAATATACAACTCATCACTACAGAATACTGGTTCACGCAACATCAAAGTTTTCGGAAAACAAATATGTTATGTAGTTATCTCCCCTTTATTGTAATTTTGTGTGGTCCTACTCCATACCAACCCTACAAATGCTTCAATGTCACAAAATGTTCTAAAATTGAACGATAAAGAAAGAACGAATATCTTATTATTGGCTCAATTGCCCGAAGGAATGCGTCCTCATATTTATCTCCATCAAAATGAGGCAGCAGTATTTGCGCAATATTGGATTCTGACATGAATATGGCAGCCCATGTAAATAACTTCTGTAAAAGTTGGTATTAACTGATACACAAATATTGGATCTTTAGTCAGTTCATTCATAACATCAAGGCAACTTCATACTAGCGGGACTTTCATTTAAAGGACAAATTAACTGACTGAAGTAAATTGAATTTCACTAGATAAGAGAAAACAAGAAAAATAGAAATAGCCCGTACATTCCCTTGTTTTTATTAATTCTATACTTAATAAAATTATGGTAATGCACGGACTTTTTCTATTTTTTTTCTCTTATCTAGTGAAATTCAATTCTTTTTATAAATTGTCGGGTATCCATTCACAGTCTCATATAACAACTTTTGGTCTTCGAAGGAATTATCAGTGAGCAGAAATTGCTCCGTGTATCTGTTATCGTTCGTTACTTACCCTAACCCTAACCCTTGCATAAAAGGATAACTCTTGTTTTTCATTTTGCGCCACTTCCGTTCTTCAAATCTTCGTTACGAATCTATCGTACAAAATGGTCGGTGTGTTAAAAATATATTTGGAACGAGTTTAACCAGTTCTATCCCATATGTGATAATGGCTGACAACACCATTGTCCTTTAAGCTCATAGATGAACCTCAAAAGGTCCAAAACTCCGCGGAACGATTAATTTTTCGAAAACAACGCTGTCTTATATACTCTCTATAGAGTCTATACCCACAGCTTACACACTTGAATACAAAATATTGCTACTTGTTTAAATGCATGAATACTTTAGCCCCGCCCTATCTTTCTCAGCGCTTATAATTTATCATCATATGGTAACCGGTTATTCTATGTACAAGCGTTCGATCCCTGCATTGGCCGAGAAAGTTCATCCCGATTTTCCGGCGTGGTTTCACCTTGTCAGTGATGACAAGAACAGCTGTCTAGTCGTTCGGATGGGACGAAAAACCGAGGTCCCGTGTACACATTGGAGTGCACGTAAAAGATCCCTTGGCAGTTGGAAGTCGATATAAGAGTAGGTCGTCGCGCCGCTGCCCGGGCAAAATTTCCCTCATAGCACACTGCATGACATATGCCCGTCTTCATTAGCCCAGTTAAGGAGCAGAACAGTAGGACGTTAAACCCCATTTCATTTCATTTCATTTTTCTATGTACAAGCACCATTGTTATAGAATAAATTACCAATCCAAATTAATAATGTCACTGCTATTGCTACTTTTAAAACTATATAAAGATATTAATTTAAAAAGGATTTTACCCTGTGATCTGTTTATATAGATTATCCAGAGCTATTTTAACTTCTAATTACATGTAATTTTTACCTATAGTATCACGTTTTATTATTATTGTGTAAATGTAATATTGTCTTGCTCTATAATAAAGCACACATGGGTTTAGAATTTTGGCTTATCAAGTTAAATCATTACTCGATAATCATGGTTTATATTATATATGCATTAATCATTTATGCTGTTTACCCAAAATTGGTCCTAAATATTGGACTCACGTGACTTATTTCATTGAAATGCACGTGCGGGATAGTGTTTCATTTTCACGTTGTTTAATAATGTTCTAGAGTTGAAACATTGTGTAATATATTGAAACAACAACTCGTGCATTATCATTGTAATACTTATTGTCTCGTTATCCACCAATAAAACCACACATACTGAGCACACTCTATTTAAAGATACATTATGGAAGATAAGATAAAGAGATGACAGTTCTCGCTATCATAGTTAAAAACTAGATAGTGTAAAGGTAATTTGCTGAAAATGTCAGTCAAATTGATCCACTATGAGCCGAGAAAGAAGCGGGTGAAATTTTTGCATAGTCTCGGTCATCATTACTAAAATCATTAATATAAACAGCATAGTCTCGATTACCCACTTTTATTAATTTAATTATCAATAGCCGTTAGCGGCATATAGGAATCTAATCCAGACAACATCGAAGGCTAGTCTTGACATCGAGAGTTTATTATGGTCTGGATAAGTTAATTAACGTCTAATTGATAATTTAGATAACATTTCAGGCCTAAAGAAAGACCTGTAATAAGCAGATTTTGCTCTTGCATAATGCATGGTTAAACATACAGTATGGCGTCACATTAATAATGACGTCATTGTATTAATCATATTAAACATACATTATGCAGGAGCTAATTCTGCCTATTGTAGGCCTTTCTTTAGGCCTGAATTGTTATCTAAATTATTAATTAGACATTAATTAAATTATCCAGACCAAAATCAGTTCTCGATGTCATCGCTAGCCTGCGAAATTTACTGGATTATAACCTGGTCTGCTGCATTTGATTAAATCAATAAATGGATAATCGAGACTATGTTTTTTATCGTACCGACTTTAGTAATGATGATCAAGGCTAGTCCGAAATTTCAATCGCTTAATTCCCGGTTCATTGTGGATCAATTGACTGAAATGTTCAGCAAATTACCTTTACATTATCTAGTTTTTAACTATTATAGTGAGACTGACAGCTCTTTATCTAATCTCCAATAATGTATCTTTAATAATATCTTGGTAATAAGACTAATATGAGCTTTTACAGTTCCATGATATCTGTTCCATATTTCATTTATTCTGTATAAAACACGATCATTAAAATATCTGTCTCTACCAAAATTCACGCAAATTATTATTGTTTAAGATAAAATTTCACTGTTGTAGGAACTTCCCCCTAAATTGACAAAATAGTAAATTTTCTCCCAAGAATTTCACAGAGAAATATATATAAAAGTACGTTGAAAAAATAAATAAAGACATATTGTTTGTTTAGCTAACGTTTTCAGTTCTCTTGAACCTCTGCTAATATAATAAAATAATATAATAAATATCTCAGTAAATATTAATTAAAAACAAAATATAACAGCAAATATCAATTACAAACATAACAATTAAAACCAAATATCACAAAAAATATGAAGCTGAAAAAATTAGATAGAGAGCCTACAATTAAAATTTTCTATCAAAATTGGTGTCTTTTAAAGAGTCAAGCGTCAAAAATGTAGACCCGGTTGGGTAAATAAATTCTGTAATGACTGGCAACGGTAGCATCTTTGAGTTGTTGGCACTCAAGGAATTTGACAAGTGTTCACATTCCGGTTGAGGATCTCGCTTTAAGATAAAAAATGTGAGTTACAAACGTATGACCAATGCGAGAGTGATACAAAACAACTTTACCCCTTCTGTGGGGCCAAATAGCGAGCCAGCACGTTATTCGGGATTCGCCACTAAAAGAGAACGATCTATCTTGCATCCGACCTTTTCCTCGTTTGGGTAACCGACTAGCACGGAGACGACTGTTTGTCAAGCGAATATGGCGCTGATTGGTTTGTTAGAGTGCACGGGTCAGTCATCTTCAGCAATCACCTGTTTTATTGCCGAATTCCGAATCCCAGTAAAACAGACCGACCTACGTTGCATCGTCCATTTCCTCGCTACCCCCGACCGTAGGGGTAAGTGAACGTTAGGTGTTGGTTTGTTAGAGTGTACGGAGCAGTCGTCTCCAGCAATCACCTGTTTTATTGCCGAATCCCGAATAACGTGCTGGCTCGTTTTTCGGGATTCGTCAATAACGGATAACGAGCCAGCACGTTATTCGGGATTCGCCACTAAAACAGAACGATCTATCTTGCATCCGACCATTTCCTCGTTGGGTGACCGACTAGCACGGACACGACTGTTTGTCAAGCGAATAGGGTGCTGACTGGTTTGTTAGAGTGCACGAGGCAGTCATCTCCTAAGAGAGGCTTAATGTAGTGAAGTTTGTTTGTGCCTGCAAGATCCAAAGACTGTTGCCAACGCGTAGAAATAAAATGATTAATGCAAGATTTAAAATCTGCATATGGTAGTAAAAATTCTAATATGGGTAAATCTAAATTAATTAATTAGGATATTACGTAAATGTGTGCTTTTACAGGCATTTTTTTAAATCTATTTTAAGGTTCCAACGAATATAAATATTGGAATTATTCGAACTATAATAATAATATTGACTTATATAAAGCCTGTGGAGTATTCATAAAATTTACCCAAATGGAATGTTATAGACAGTGACGGAAATCTTTCGCCAATAATTATATGATCCATTCGATTCGATCTTATGGATATAATAATAATAATAAGAAGAAGAATATCTTTATTAGGGTAAGAAAGTAGGCCAGGCCTTTTTACAATTCTGCCCTTGAAACATAACAAAACAATATAAGAACAACAAGAACAACAATGAGATCAAATATATATATATAAAATAAAGGTTAAAAATGCCTAAAGAAAGTATATACTATTGTTTAATTGTCTACATGTTTCGCCTGAGCTTGTCAAGACATACAATAACAATAACAATAACGTGACGTCATGGAAGAATAAACATACAATAATATAATAATAATGAAGTAGATAATATATAATATATAGCACAATATTGTAATTATTTTGAAATGTTTAATTTGGGGTTTAATTTGTCAATAAAATATTGTTCCTTCAATCTCATTTTCATGGGATCTGAATACGGCATCTTAAAGAAAGGGTATATTTTGAACTCGCCCTTACCGCAGATATGAAGGTGCTCAATTAAAGGCATCTTCCTTAAATTTGGTTCCCTGATATGTTGTCTATGAACCGTTACTCTGTTTTGTAACTTGGTCGTGCAGCCGATGTACAGTTCGGCACAGCCACTACATTTTATGACATATAATACATGAGTTACTTTACAGTTCATACTTCCATTGACAAAAAGTTCTTTTGACATATTCGCCTTAAAGTCTGATAGTACAGTTGTGTTTTTAATTGAGGTAGGTAGGTTATTCCAGAGACAATGTCCAATGTATTTTAAACTATTTTTATATATTGATTTATTAGGTTCAGGAATATTAAATCGACGATTAATGTCGGTATAAGGTGTATTTTTAAAAACGAGAATATTAGTTAAGTAGTTTGGGCATTTTTTATGAACTAATTTGAAAAGTAAGATGTATTTATTGAAGGTGAACCGATTTTGAATGGTTAAAATATTTAGTGATTTAGCTAGGGTTTCATAAGTACATACGGTTGAATTTTTCGTTAGTGGTTTATCATTAATTAATTTAAAAGCCAATTTTTGCACACGCTGTAAGTAATTTAAGGATGTTTTACTACAGGTATCCCAGATGGTGGAGCAATAATCTAGATGTGACTGAAGATGGCCAAAATAGAATAATTTTAACAAGTTTGACGGAAGACGTGATTTTATCTTTTTCAGTTGATACAATTTTTTATTTAGTGTTTTACAAATGTATTCAGTATGTTTATTCCAAGAAAAATTTCTATCAATGATTACACCTAAAAGTTTAAATTCAGAAACATTTTCAATTTGATTATTATTGATTTGAATGTCAAGTTTATTTAATGGATTTTTAAGTTGATAGTTTGTAGCTATTAACATTGATTTAGTTTTTGATTCATTGATAATCATAGCATTATTTTGGCAGCATTGTATTATTTTATTGGTTTCCAATTGGAGTTTATTATTAAGAGATGTTATATCTGGAGTAGAGGTATAAACGTTGGTGTCATCTGCAAACAGATCGGAATTTACAGAAAGAGAAAACGGTAAATCATTGATAAAGAGCTTAAAAAGTAAAGGCCCAAGGATTGATCCTTGGGGTACACCGGAAATTATATTTTGAAATGAAGATTTATTTTGTCCAATTGATATACACTGATTTCCATTATTAAGGTATGATTTCAATAATGAGAGTAAGTTTTCCGAAAAATTATATAGCTGAAGTTTTTGTAGAAGAAGATAATGATTTACCATGTCAAAAACTTTTCTGAAATCAAAAAATAATAATCCTGTTAGCATATTATTATTTAGAGCGTCATAAACATTTTCAGTGATATTAACAAGGGCTGTATGACAGGAGCTATTTGAACGGAAGCCAGATTGATTTAAATATAAAAGATTATTTTTATTTAAATAATTAGTAATATTCAAATTTATATGTTTTTCAAGGGGTTTAGAGAGAGTTTGCAAAATAGATATTGGCATATAATTACCGATTAGGCATTTATCACCTGATTTGAAGAATGGCAGTACCTTTGCCTGTTTTAAAATGTCAGGAAATATGTTCTTTTCAATGCAGAGGTTAAATATATATGTTAGAGAGGTATTTAAAATGGGGCATCCGGTTTTGAGAAAAAAACGAGCTAACACTATCAATTCCTACAGATTTTGATGCATCTAAATTTGAATGATATTTGTATACATCACAAGTAGACATAAAAGGTATTTTACATTTAGGAGTACAAGATGAAGTTTGATTGTTTACAAAATTAGAAATACAATTGGAATCATTTTTGCTTAACGAAATTGGGACATTGTTCATTAAGTTGTTTGCAACATTGATAAAATAATGATTGAGAGTGTCAGGATCCATTTGAGTAGGTTGTGATGAAGTTTTATGAAAAGTATTATTTGCTAGTTTTATGGCATCCCAAATCTGTTTACTGTTTTCCCGGTCAGATATCAAGGATTCTAAATATTTTCGTTTACTTGCTCTGATAGCTGTTTTAACTTCATTTCTTAATTTTTTATAATTAGTAACATCCCCTTTTTTCTTTAAATAATCTCGTTTATGAATAAGTTGAAATATTTCATGAGTTAACCAAACTGGTTTATCAACGTTTCTTACTCTCGTAGTTTTTAAGGGAGCATGTTTATTTATTATTGGAGTAATAATTGATAAAGCTAAATTTAGATCAGAATAATTATAAATATAGTCAAAGGGAGCTGCATGCAAATCATACAAAAATTGATCTTTATTAAAGTGTTTAAATGACCTATATGTAATTGTTACATGTTTATTTTTAGGAAAAGAAGCATCCTTTTTCTGCCAGGTAAAACATACTGGGTAATGATCAGAGGCAGCATAACAAGGAATTTTGATTTCTTTGACATGATCAGGGTCTGAAACAATGAGATGGTCTATTAATGTTTTCGTTTTATCAGTAACTCGTGTAGGTGCTTTAATAAGTTGACGGAGGCCAAAAGTTTGTAACAAATCGGTCCAATGTTTATTTTGATTTTTGTAAAGATCTATGTTTAAATCTCCAATTATAAGAATTTCATTTTTATTATTCCATGCAGATTCCATCATTTCCGAAAAAGAATCAATCCATAGTTTAGTTGAGGCTGGATTTCGGTATATACAGCATATGAGAATTGGCTTTGACTTCTTTAAATTTAGTTCTATCCAGATCGATTCAATATTTGGATGTTCCAGATCTGAGCGGTGTTTATAAATGAAGTTATCTTTTATGTAGAGCAATGTTCCAGAAGAACTTAAATTAGACTTATCTTTTCTTAACGGATTATGAAATCCAGCAATATGTAATTGATCATCATCTATAGAAGTAGTTAAGTGTGATTCGGAAATAGCAAATATATCAAAGTTTTGAATGGATAGACTAAGTTCTGGAATTTTATTAAAGAAATATTGAACATTTAGATGACCTACATGTAAACCTTTTTTAGTTAAAACTTGGTGCATCTGTTATATAATTGTAATAAATGATGAAAGGAATGAAATAGATATCTTTCTAAATAACACAAAGTAAGAATTAATGATAACAAATAATAACAATGTTAATGTTAAACAGTTACACCAATATAATATAATGGTGTGGATGGAAAAGCAAGTGCAAATGAGCTCTCTTGTGATGAGGGGGGGGGGGGGGCATGTTGGTAGACCAAAGCATGACAGGAAATGTAAGTTTCTGGAAAATAATGATATCCTAATTTGGCATGCTTGGGGAGATAACATGATTCCTAATAAGTTTGCTTAAACAGGTAGAACCATAAGAATTAAGATGTACAGAATCATGCTATAAATTCTCTCTGATTTTACTTAGGTGATAATTATAAAATAAGTTTCCATGATCAATAGGTATGTCAATTCCACAATCCTCACAGACATCATATAGTATGTCATTAATACGATTTATAATGATATTTGAAGAGCGAGAAAACCGTGGCAATAATCTAATGAATTTAACAGATGCATAAGGGAATTTAGAGAAACACAATTCTATTAAAGTTCTATAATAATTACGAGTATAGTCTGCATATGGGCCATATTTTGAGTCATTAGATCCAATTAGAAATATTATATTGCGGACATTATTTGGTGAGGTACAATTATCAACATAAGTGATGACATTTTGTATAGTCGCCCCTGACAGAGTTCTCACTTCTGTGGATTTGGTTTTATCCAATCCATTTGGTTTGATACCTTTAAGTATGGATGATCCTATAACAATGTTACGTTTATATTCCAGTTTTTTCACATTAGAGAATTTTTTATGAATTGGGCCTAAGTTATGGTCCTCCGTAACAAGTGGTTTAAATGATTCCTGACATTTTTCAGCAATGTTTTAATAGATTGAAATTCAGAGTCAAGCTTCTTTATTTTGTCTGTCAAAAGTAACACATCACAATTTAGTTTTATATATTGATTCCATATTATTTTGTATAGATGTCTGACTATATTTAACATCATCTGAAATTACATAATATTGATATTAGTTTATTACCTGTTCATATATACCGTTCTGATGGTGGTTAAAAACCTTGGCCATCTTTAAACTAGGTTATCTTTGTTGTCTGAACGTAAAGGTGCAGTAAATAAACCAGTTTTAAAACAACCTAAGCTGGTATCTAAGCTGGTTTATGTCAGCCATCTGAATCGACTTCAGTTAGCTTTGTGCCTATACATTTCCGTATCGTTTGTGGTAATTTGTGTTTTCGAGTCGGATATACACCTGAGTAATTTTAATTATATTTATAACCCTTGACCGTGGTTTGTCACAACATGTCAAAGCTAACAGTTAAGTTCGTGTGAAAGATATACCACACTGGCTTAAAAACACCCCGACTAGAAAATTACTTGCCATTTCTTTAATTATTAATTAAAATGGCTAAAACGTAATGACATACCTGGAATTGTCATCCCTTTGCTTTCTTCATCTATTAGTAAGTGATCACCATATTTATCATCCGCGTCTGTAATAGAAACATATATATTAGTAAGTACAGGAGAACTGTACTACATAAACAAAGATAGGTTGCTAGAGAGCGAAACATACATACACACCACCACAGTCGTCGGACAGTCAACAAGGTTTTTTTCATATATTTTTTGTGTCGGTAATTAAAACTTTTACAACACACTAAAATCGGATTAAAAGCAACAACCCATTAAGCAATTATCAGAAATCATTACAATTTGTTTGGCTTCTAGTTCTGCCCCATGCTAACGTTTTTCTTTAGTATAAAACCCAGAAGATAACTCCAATGACAAGACACAAACCACTGAAGTGATATAAATATACCGGTACCTACTACCTATGTATACGGCATGTACTATATACAAAGTTCGCGCGTGTGTAAGTCTTTATCAGTTTTTAAAAACACAAAGATATTTGTCAGGTTACGGAGAATACGCCTACTGCAGCTAAATCGCCCGGGCATTCAATAAGAGTGCCACATATTTTTTTTTTGTAGGTAATGGGAGAATTTACACGACACTGATATTAATTTCCTACAAGTTTCAACAAAGTGAAACACGGGCCTTATCAAGTTATTAACAGAACTTGGTGAGATCTAATAGGATTTTGTCGTGTTCAGAAGCAAGGGGTTTAACAAAGTGAAACAATGGCCACAACTGTCGAAATTCAATAGTCTTTTTTGTTTTACTAATTTAAATAACACATGTAAATTTAATACAGATCGGATGATAACTTTATTCGTTCACAAAGTTCAACAAAGTGAAACACGGACCATAAGTCTAGATGTAATTAAATAGGCTTCTTCGTCCCAGTAATGTAAACATTAATATATCAATATAAATTTAAAACTGACCAGACAATAAATCAATAAATGTAGTCAGTTGAGTGTTCACAAGAAATTGTGGACGACGGACACCAATCCATTACCGTATGGGCGTATATAAAATTATGTACAATGTAGCCTACTATTAATATCGTTGCTCAACTTTCACATAATAATGTACCCAGGTGATCGAAACGAAAATATACTACCAGAAAATGTCACAAATTACATAACATGTCACCTTGAATCAGGATAATATATAAAAGGGATGGGATGGGGGTGGGGCATGTTCCCAATTCATTACACTAGAAATGAAATAAAATGGGGTTTAACGTCCTACTGTCTTGCGCCGACTGGGCTAATGAAGACAGACATACGCCATGCAGTGTGCTATAAGGGAGATATTGCCCGGACAGCGGCGCTACGACCGACTCTGATATCGGATTCAAACTGTCAAGGTATGTTTTACATGCACCTCGGTTTTTCTTCCCATCAGGATGACTATATGTTGTCCCCTGTCAGTCCGTCCGTCCGGGGCCAATGAGAAGGGGAAACCTCGCCATTAAATACCGATGTACTTTCTCGACCAACATAGGAATCGAACATGGAGCCTCCAGGTTACCGTGCCAGCGTCTTACTCACTGAGCCACCACGGCCCCTCATACCAGAAACTATAGAAAACACATGCTGTGTAAAGGATATGGGACAATATAGAATTCATCAAAGTTTAATCGATATTGCAATATTACATGCTATTCTTCTATTTGATTGTCTGCGATATCACCCAAGGTAGAAGCGGACGTTAAGCCTCAAGGAACGAACGAGCTACTGTTTGTGTAAAGACGGTCGGATTAACATCATAACTTATCTACGATTGTTGTGTTATGAACATATATTTGAACATTAATCAAAATCGAATAAAAATTATGATTTCTACAGGTTTCATAAGCTGTAGTCACGGACATGACGACCCGGTAAGTACCAAAATTGATCTCATCAGAGAATTTTGGGATATAAACATATATTTTAAATTCTAGACACAAAATCAGAAAAATTACAGTGATGGTCAATGGTAATATATTTTTAATTAATGTCAACAAAGCTGTCCCATTTTGTTTCATTTCTAGGTAGTGGACACCAAAATACAAACTACTCAGCGCTTAGGGCATTTCTCTATGTGGATTTTAGCGCTTATAAGACTACTTATTATTTATTATTATCATGTGTATTCTGATTCGTTGGTAGCATGCGCTTTAGTCAATGCTCTTCTGCCTTAAATACTGTTTGTCACATTTACGTGACTTCTTCACAGTGAGAATAATTTTCAATGTTACAATTAGAGAACATATACAGTCTCTACGTAATAACTCCTGTAGAGGAAGCAAGTGAATAAATCCATTAGGAAAGGCAAAACGGCAATAATTTAAAGTATATTACGTTTACAACCTTTTATAATGCCGTCATCTGGTTTACCATCTCTTGGTAAACTACAATCTATATCATCAGTCTCATTTACATCTAGAGGTTCTTGTTTTACAAGCACTTTCCCATCTGTTGCTTGAATATCAACTGGCGAATAATCGGAATCATTTATCCCTGCATCTGAAATATCGAGATAATAAATTAAAAAATAGACAGATATAAACTAAATGGATATAAATACGTAATATTAGTTTCAGATTTAAATCTTCAAAATCAAAACGAACCAAACCTGACTGTTATAAGATCGGGTACGCCATTTGTCACTTGGATAAAGAAATAGATAAAGAATTCCATTAAAGGAATGGTATAAATATCAGATAGTGTAAACAGTTCTCTTTGTGAAAGATTATTCATAAGAGTCAAGTTATTGTATATTGGGGTTGGCCAAGAATGTACTCTGCTCTGAACATAATACTGAATATACAGTCGGCCACAAAACACTACTGGTTGTTAAATACCAAACACAGTTTATCCTGGTTTACCTTGTCCAATCTCATCATCTTCAATTTCTTCTTTAATTCTTTCTATAATCACAATTTGTTCATAAAATTCGGTCCAGCTCATCGGACAAGATACTGTTTCTCCCTTTCGTCATTCTTGAGTCCATTTCCTTTTATAGTTGGTCCAGTAGCTTTGTCTTCGTTCTCATCCCCGACTTGAATCGAACAAAGATATTGGTTTTGTTTTTAAAGCTATCATCAATGAGTTCAACGTCGTTTTTATCCTTCGCCTGTTCACTCTCCCTTTTGTCTTGTTTAGTTTATTGAAGTCTTAACTGTGACTACATATTTGTTGTTTTACTGTGTTTGTTTCTCTTCCATTTCAATATCTGAAGTTATTATAAATAACAAAATTATGCAATCAGGGGCGTGCTGGGCATGTAGACATTACCTACCCTGCCCCCATAAATGCAAAAAAAGAGAAGAAACCGGAAATGGTTGATAACGCTCGAATTCGATGCAATTTCTTATCAGGTAATAGGCGTGTGTGTGGCTATGTGCCCTCCCTTCTAAAAAAGTGCCCTCGTTTCTAAAAATGTGCCCTCATATCATTTAGTTCTTGGCTGTTGCGGACTATGTACATGTTCAGATCTTCAAGAATTAATTGTAACCCCTTAACCAAGTATCAATGTATGGTATCTCATGGCATGTGCCACAGGACCAAACATTTCCCCATTAAGTGCCTTAAGTTTGGGCTGCCTACCCGCGTTCGGAGGCTTCAGCACGCCTCTGAATTTTATATTGCATATTTGAAAGAGACCTTTTCCAGCAACGAACTCTGTTTGTCTTAGTAATATATAAACAATAGGAGAATCCATGGAGGGAAAATATTTAAATAAATATCACTGACAAACTAAAATAATGGTATCGAATGTAAATTGTGCTATTTTACTTACCCGATGATAATTTTGCAGCTACTGTAACATATCCCGATTCATGTAAACTATGGATGAATTTAGGATATGCCCCTGGACCACAATTTCGAAGAATATTTATAAATTGACGTATCTTTGCTTTTGTACCACCCGATTCCTCTTTTCTGATTTTTTCCAAGTCATCTTCATCTATTACGTGGCTTCCGTATAAACTGTCTAGCAATGGTTCTATAGGTATCAGATTATTGAGTAAATACACATAGTTATCTTTTATGATATAATCGTGTTCAGGTAACATCTTCCCTTTCTCTCTGCTATGTGTAACCTTTCTCCTCTTAGCATCGGGTGAGCTCTCTTGGTATTCAGCTGAAAAAATAAACACCACAATATTATACCTGTCTATAATAATACTTTGTATGATTACCAATAATATTATAACAACAGAATTTGTTATCAGCCGTTAAGAATGAGTTCGCGAGAAAACCATGCAAAATTTTTAAAAAAATTTTAAAAAAAATGCACAAACGATGTCGGGCGATTGTGACCAAACTTTGCAGATTTGGTCATTGGGTACCCAACATAGAAACAGCTATGGTCATTTTAGAGTAAGAAAAACGTCATTCCCTAAATTCACTATCAAATTTTTCCGAAACCAATTGAGGCTATAAGGAATTTATTTTGAAACATAGTTTTTGCTATTTGCTAAAACATATAATTATCATGATGCTATATCTCACCCACTGACTTCATTTCTGACATCAATTTTCCAATAAAATCATTCATTGCCTGGATTATTAGGCCTGGTATTGACCCATTTAACCGCCTTCCAGCAACCCTGTGAAGGGCCGGTACAGATCATTCAGGAGTTCCACAAGGATCAGTCCTTGGACCTGTCCTTTCTGTAATGTATTCTAAGAATTTAGGACAACTAATCGATAATCATGGTTTCTAGGATGATATTCTTATGTAGATGATACACAGCTGATTGCAAATTACTCCTTTTTAAAAATTGTTCCTTCCATCCCCTAATTGTTCTGTCATCAAATTGTGTAAACATGACATTGAAGATAGGACGACAAGAACTATGTTGAAATCAAATGTAATTGAATGAAGTAAACCAGAATGTATTTTTTTTTGGTCCAAATACACATTTGAAAAATCTAAGTTCAAATGATGTGTTCGAACGAGATGCAATACTTGCACCATCAGACACTGTGAAGAACTTGGGTGTCCTGTTAGGGTCCAATTTAAGCATGGATAGTCACATTAGTGAAATTTGTCGAAAATTCCAGGAACATTGGCCATATAAGAAACTTGATTAGCCAGGAAGCAGAGAGAGAGAGAGAGAGAAATGGGGTTTGACGTCCACTCGACACAAACTAGGTCATTTCGGGACTAACATATGGTTAAATTTTATTTCAACAATTCGCTTGCGCATAGGGGTCTTTAGCAGTGGAGGGAAACTGGAGGAACCGGAGAAAACCCACGAAGGTTGGACAGGCGACCCTACTCCTTGTCACGTACAACCGGGGATTCGAAACCACGCCAGTTGACTCAATGATACAGCACGCACGTGCTAACCATTCGGCCATCCAACCCCGCTAGCCAGGAAGCAGCTGCTGCACTTGTGTGTTCTTTGGTATTCTCGGGGATGGACTACTGTAACAATAGTGCCAATATTTAAAAAAAATCAACTTGTGCAAAATACCGCATGTCGATTTGTTACCAGATCATCAAAATACTCTCATATATCTCCTGTTCTGAAATCACTCCATTGGCTGCCAATAAATGAAAGAATCATCTTCGAAATTCTGTCTTTGACTTATCAGTTGTGTTGCCGAAGGTGGAAATTAAAATCATTTGGATACAGATCGTTCACAGTGAATGCGCTTAAACGGTGACAAGGAATAAGGTAACTGGTCCAACCTCGTGGGGTTTTTCCGGGTTCTCCGGTTTCCCCCCACTGCTAAAAGACCCCTACGCGCAAGCGAATTATTGAAATAAAATTGAACAATATATCAGTGCCGAAAATGACCTAGTTTGTGTCGAGAGAACGTTAAACCCCATTTCTCTCGCTCTCTAATCACATGATCCGAGTATTAACAATACGCCTACACACCTGAACCAACATGTACTCACTCTCTCACAACTAGCAGACGACAGTTATTGCCCAATGGCCGATTCTTAGAAGAAATATAAAAAAGAAAAAAAACACGAATTTGTCCTGTTAGTGTTTTCAACCAAGAAAATAAACATCTGGGATTAGATGGAAATATTCAGATTCCATACAGTGTCTGATTCCTAAATGTGACCCCCCCCCCCCCGGGGTGTAGGGGTTGATAAGAATATACCCTTCGTATGTCCTGCGTGTCGTAAAAGGCGACTAAAAGAGAGAGAGAGAGAAATGGGGTTTAACGTCCACTCGACACAAACTAGGTCATTTCGGGACTAACATATGCTTTAATTTTTTATTTCTATAATTCGCTTGCGCGTAGGGGTCTTTAGCAGTGGGAGGAAACCGGAGGACCCGGAGAAAACCCACGAGGTTGGACAGGCGACCCTACTCCTTGCCACGCACAACCGGGGATTCGAAACCACGCCAGTTGACTCAATGACAAACTTTATGATACAGCGCGCGCACGTTAACCATTCAGGCATCCAACCACCCATGCAACTAAAAGGATCCCTGTAAAAGGGCGGCGTGTTTGTCGTGCGTTGCGACCCGTGTCGGTGGAGAGTGGAATCCTGATAATTGAGTGGGGATTTGGTTTGCGAGCCCTTTCTCTGCAACACATTGCTTCGGCCCACAATTCACCTAGACGGGAGGTTAGAGTTGCCCACTCTGATCAATCGGCTTTGGTCGTGTTTAGCTCACGAGTAGGCGCATCTTTCCCATAAGTCTGTAATGTATTTATTGCAGCTCTACCTTTGTGTCCTGAGTGCCTACTCTAAAGCAGCGGCTTGGGTCAACTGGATAAAGTAAAAATATTTAATCTTTACTTTGTCTAGGTATATCCCTGTCTGTTCTCTTAGGGTGTATGCGCTGGATATCCGCGCAGTAGCCTGCATGGATATTGTAATCCTTTGGTGGTTGGAGAGCAGGCAGGGATGAATCTTTTAAAATTACACTCATGGCTTCCCAGTCAAAGAAGACTCGTTTGAAACGTATGTCGACCGAGGATACGGAACCTAATACTATACCAAATAAAACATCCCGAACCTGGCCTAGATTTCTAGTTATACAGATGATACTAATTTAGCTAAAACCTCTCCTTTCTTGATTGCTAAAGGTCTTGCTGTCTTGGCCGGTGAGCCCAAAAGCGTCAAGAAAATGAGAAATGGTACTCTGTTAGTGGAATTTGCTAAAGAGTCACATGCATCATCTTTATTAAAATCTACGACTTTAGCCAACATTCCAATCAATGTTACACCGCATAACTCTCTTAATTCTTCAAGAGGTGTTATACGGTCTCAGGATTTAGAAGGCAGCTGTGAGAAAGAGATAATTGAAAATCTCGCCTCACAAGGTGTTGCCTACGTCAAACGTATTTCTATCAGACGTAATGGTAATATTATCCAAACCAACACCCACATCCTGACCTTTGATAAACCAGATCTACCTAGGATGATAAAAGCTGATTTTCTTGCCATTCCAGTTACCCCTAACATCCCATTGCGTAGCTTTCATTGTTAGCGCTCTGGACACAGTAGAACCGTATGTAAAGGGGAAAGCAACGTGTGCTCGATGTGGACAAGATGGTCACAAAAGTACATCTTGTCAACTCGACCACCGTTGTATTAACTGCAAAGGGCCTCATTTTGCTTATTCCAGAGAGTGCCCTATATGGGAGAAAGAAAAACAAGTTCAGCAGGTCAACACAGATACAAAACGTATCATATCCTGAAGCAAGGAAGTTGGTTGAGGCTGCAACCCCAACATTTGCAATGTCTTTTGCAAATGCAGTCAAGCCGAAGACTACTTCCATTGCTTGTCAGACACCTGCTGAATTTCCAGCTTCGACGGAATCCTCGTCACAGAATGAACCTCCCATACCTCCAAAACCTGTAAATGTTTCTCTCAGCACCCAGATTAATAATAAGTCTGGGGAGTCGGAGATTGAGGGGGCTGTACCCCCCACTCTTCAACCAATTGGTGGAGATCCACCCAAAAACTCTAACAAGGAACGTTCTAGTAAGGGCGTTCCTAGAAGTTCAAAATTAAATACCTTCCGTAGTAGGAAGGGTGACGAGGATCCTGTCGGAACCTTTAACAGGACAATCTCATGGATGTTGTTGTAGAAATACATGACCCAAAACAACATCATAGAAGTCATGTTAAACCTCCCTGAAAATGGCCAATTCCACAATTCAATGGAATTGTCGTGGTCTTAAACACAAT